CCCCAAAACCCCAAAACCCCTAAATGCAAAATAAGTCTGTCTTTTTTAATTAGCAAAAATATAAATTAAACATTTAGTATCTTCGAATATTATTAAAAAAATGAACGCATTAAGCCTAGATGCTTATCTCAAACTTATTATTATTGTCTTTTTCAATGTCTTTTAATATTGATTTGCTAAAAGTAAGTTTAAATAGATAATAGTATCACCTCAATTTTAGGCTAAGACCTAGTAGCTTCCAAGAATCCTATTTAGCTTTTTGTGAATGATATAGACTATCTAAATTTAGACGAATTTACAACAAGTGTGTGGCTCAAATACTCAAATTTTACAATGATTACATCACCCATTAAAATAGCATATGCAGTTAACATTCAAGTAAATATAAGTCGACAGATTTTAGTGTCATATATTCAATTTGGAACTACTCACGATCATACTAGTTCGCCTAAAGTCTATGTTGAGTCAAGCGATGTTTGGTTTAGGCTTGGAATATCTAAAAATTTAACATCATATATAGTTTACTACAACTTAAATCCCATAATAACAAAAGTTCAATAGCAATTCTTAGATATCAAAAGAGTAACATAAATTTCAATTTTAACTCTAAAAATTTAGTTCCCTTATCAGCAAAGCCCAATGTTTTACTCTGGTATCAATAGCGAAGTTAATTTAGGATAAATAGGTTCTATGATGTAAGCAAAGGAATACTTACTTTATTAAGGATATTCTTGTACTAATTAAGAGATGTAGCAGATATTTTATAGGTAAATTTATCTTTTTTTCTTCTACTTCTCAGTAATTAATTTTGATAGGTTTCATTCAGTAAATATTTAAATAGACAAGCTAGTATTTTATTATAAATTGCAATTCACTCTATATAACAGGACTTACAATTCAGTTCGATCTTACAATAGCAATAATTTTTTCAGTAGTAATTTCAACTATTTCCCTGGATTTGAAAAGGAGATTATAGAAGTGTAATTAAATGCTAGAAAAGAACTTGATTTCCCAAACATGACTAATTTAAAACCTTAAGATTTGAAAGGGAAAAGCTTACTAATAACTTAACCTATCAAATTGCCAGGAATTAAATGTAAATCTGATAGTTATTCAATTGAGCTCTGGGTGAAATTCGAAGTACTTCCTCAATTTCCGATATAATTATTTAGTGAGTGCGAATAAGCCTCTAATGTCAGTTGCTAAGGAATGCACTTATTGCTAAAAACCGACTTTTTAGATCCATATATTGAGCATTAAGTGAGTCCAGATTATTCATCTCTATGGTAATTGCTCACTGGAGATTTGATCTCTTAGCATTGGAATTATCTATCTGTAACTTACATTAGATCTCTAGATACAAACATCTATAAATATCTATTAAATCACATTTATAAGGAAATTAAGGACTAAAATTAGTCTAAGCATCCAATATTATAAAAAGAGTTTGTATATATTGGACTTCTTAACCAAATTGAAACAATGAATTGTGCTTTTTATCTGAAGGAACTTTGAGTTTGGAGTCCTGCAAGAACTTAAACTGACCTATTGTATTTTTAAAGGAAATATATACATGATTAGCTTCCAGTAGGACTTATTGCTTACTGGCCCTTTTAGATTTATTAAGATAATCTATATCAATTAGTGGATTTATCCTATAATAGTTTTGGAAGAGAGGCGATTTTAAATCCTAATTCTTAATGGGATGATATTGCTTTAACAATTTGCTAAAATGGAACATATTATAATCGAACAACAAGCTCATGTGAAAATGAAGATATCGAATATGAATTGATTTTATAATTTACAAAATAAAGCGATTAATAAATTAAATTATCATCTATGACACCATTGATTTTAGAATTTTGGATTAGATTTTATGATAAAGATGTTACTTAATAGATTGCATCAATACTTTCTTAATAAGATTAGTCTTTTAACTAGTTTTACTATTCTAATTTGAATGAATTAGGATATTCAATATATGATCAAAGTTAATAATGGGAGAACAAATTAGTTGAAACAATTTAAGGCACTAATTGGAATCATTTTCTCTACACGATTGTGAATGGTTAATTAACTTTTTACTACAATAAATAATACTTAATGCAATATAATGGCAATTAAGGTTCATTTATTAATCTAATTTCTATAGCTGACGGCAATAGAAATATTTTCTATCTAAAAGAGCTTAGGGTTTATACTGATTTTGACAGTGAAGTACAAAATGCTCTGTAAGGATTTGCTTTATTTTACCTTTTTACTAAGATATATGGTGTTAAGAAACTGGAGGAGTTAAATATCTAACCCTGATGAATACCCCTATCTTAAGCTTTACTATAAATTCACAGTCCCAGAATAATATGCTGACTACGATCAATCAATATCATTTAATGATATATAGATGTTTTCAAACATCCTCCCAATTTCATCTCAAACAGTTTTAGATGTAAATCTTATTTTTATATTCTTACTAAATGATTCATGAATTTAGATAATTTCGTCATATTCATTGATATTGAGTCCTACATACCTACTAATGTGCAAAAATGGACATATTTGGGACGGACTGGTTTGTAGATGTAAGTTATTGCAGTTAAATTTTACTTCAAACTTAGTTGATCACTTGACATTATAGCCCAAAAATGATGATTAAAGTAATTAATTTAGCTATTAAAATTTAATGTAGATATATAAAATTCGATTAATCTTGGCAAAATAACATATATCGAGGATGTATTCACATTGATGTTTTGGGTAATGTTAAAATTATTTTTAAAAAAAACAATAGTTCAAACAAAAGGATGATAGCTCAGCAAGTATCATTTCATCTGGAGCTAAAGATACTCTAATAAATCTTTAACTATAAAAAGCATAAGTAGCAGGATAAAATTAGCAGAATTTGACTTTCTAATTTTCACTCTGCAGTGCTAATATAGAACCTTAATTATTATACATCATAAAACCTGGTTAACATAATGAATGGTACCATTTTACTCTATCTTCAATTAAAAACGCTCCATAAATTCTTTTAATAAATGCTATGGGAGATTTAAAATAAATGTCCTAGAATTTTTAACCACATGGATCATGCTAAAATTCTGTTCCCTCAGAAAAAATTGAACTATAAACTTCAGACTATGAATCCATAAGTCTTAAAGACTTTGCTTTTGTCCTAGATGCATTTTCTTACAACTAAATTGAAGTTGTCGCATTGTAATATATTTATGAATTTACACTACTATAGTACACCCTGGAAGTACATTAATCATGCACTTCTATTCAATAAGCTTAGTTAAACTTAAAATATGGGTTGGATCAAAGAAGAAATCTATCAAGTCTAATAACAATTAAAATATAAATAGAATTATTTTGAATGGGTGTATGATCCTATGAGTCCCTTAACTTGCAATAATACTGATCATTACATTCCAGAGTCATATACCTGTGTGTAAAACAGATACAGCCATAAGAAATTTAATTAATGCATAGAAACAACTTACGAATATAATTTGAATATAGGAGATAGTAATTATTTCGGTATTGGATTATGGATTAGAATTCTTAGCTATTAAACAAACATAGATAGCGAGATAATCTTTGTATAATTAGGACCAACATAAAATGATTATATTTCACTCGGAGGTTTAGTTAATCCAGGCTAAAATTTGGTAATTGCAGCTTAATTATATGGATCAGCTCCAGCAATTGCCAAGTATTATAATTTTCACTAAATCAATTTATAGAAAATAATTAGAAGATTCATAATAAAGATGCATAAAGTATTATTGCTATTTGTTTACCTAGCTTATTTAAAAAGAAGGAGAGATTTTAAACAATTTTTAACTTTACATCAACACTGAGCTTCAACAAACATCGATTTCTAGATAAAACTAAATTAGTTTTGATTAGAATATATATATAGGATGTAGAATTTAGGGCCAAGCAGAATATTCTAATTGGGAGGGATATATGTAGTAATTAAGAATATTTCATAGTAGATCTCCTCTGGACTCAGAAATGCAAAGTGCTTTTAGATTTAAGTAAGTTAATAATTAGTTTAGAGTTTGCTAACTCAAATTATTATAGGAGGAAATTATATATACAAAATTAAGTGCTCTATTTGCCATTGACATAGGATTCTTCTATTGGTTTTCTTTATGACCTTAAATATACATACACAGTTTAGCCTGCTATACGAAAAGGTTATTATTGGTATGATATCGATTAAATACCTATAATGTATGAACAAGATTAAGTATATACTCATGATACTATCAGTAAGTTATATAAATATTTCAAGATAAATTCAAATTATTATAAGCTTGAGCTTATTGATTATTATAATAAAAGTAACCACTAACCATTCTACTTATAGTAAGATATCAATCATCAGGCTAATCAGTGTAAATCGCAAATAACACTCTAATTTCATTCGATATTAATTAGGTCATTATAACTTACACAATTCACTTTTGGGTTACTACTGCCAATGTCGATCAAACTACTCTATTTAGAATTTAAAATCTTTTAGCACTTAAGACTTAAGATAATCATCTAGCATTGCATGATGATCTAAGTTAAAATGTAATTGGACGATCAACATAGAAATAATTTCGTAATAATTCATGGCAATATATTGCTATTGTTAGAGGAGGAGATATTGAGCAAAGAAATGTATATTGTAACAATAAATTGTCAATTAGTAAATTTAACAGCAATCATGTATTCGAACTAGGAAAGTATTATCTAAAATTAAACTCGAATGTGTATCTAAGTCAAATTTATATCTGGAATGAATACAAATCACTAGATCATATAAAACTAAATTAGCTGAGATTTTCTGATCCCAAATTATACTATAATAAGATAGTCCTCTACTACTCGCCTTAATTATCTTGGGAATATTCTTTTGAAAGCTAAAATCTTAATGAGTATTGGACTTTTGGCAAGTAAGTTCATATTTAGGAGACTCTTTTAGATTAGACTACTTAAGAATCGCCGAAATTTTGTGAGAAAGGTTATTATTATACAAATAATGAATGCATTCTCAGGCAGTTTTTGATATTTTCTAATACTGGTGGGTACAACAATCTAGATCTTAAAATCAGTGAGAATATAAATAATTAGCTTAGAATACAAGTTGAATTTTGGTTGGTTCAGCAATTGGGTCAATATACTGGTAATATATTACAAATTTCTTATGGATAGAACTAGAGCATAACGATATTAGAAAATTCATATTTTAGGACTCAAATCTTTATAAATTCTTATGAAATAGCTTTGTTTGAAAGAGAAGCCTCATTAGATATTTCATGCATTAATTTCTTTAGCTACTAATTCGACTTAAATGGAACATTTATAGTATATAGAAATGCTGAAAAATTTTTAAAGACTAATTTTGACTCTACTTAATTAATGCAATCACTAAACTAGATAAAAATTACTATTTGTCCAAATGTTTGCCAAGATTTTTCAATTTATGATATCAGAATTTGGAATGATTTCCACTAGTATAGCAGCAATAACTTGCACTATTATAATAGAACTTTGGGAGTTAGTTCTAAGATGATTGCTTATTATCCATTTAATGAGTTCTCTGGGTATGTATTAACTGAAAAGGTATTTGATTATAAAATTGATATGAAAATCTTTGATTAAACTAGCTTTTAGAAGATAGTTAGATGGGAGGACATTGATTATTTTGGTCTTAATCCTATACCTAATGTCGAATGTTTGTTTAATTAAAAATATGACGAGGATACAAAAGATTGTTAACTCATGAATGATGCCTGGGAGACTGTTGAATTTATTGCTACTAATAACTAGCCAGCAAAATTAGATTTTACAGATAGAGAATTTTCAAATGAATGGACCATTGAATTCTATTTTAAGTACGCAGTTTATTAGAATAATATGGCTACATTAAGTTTATTTCCAATAATATAATCTGAACTAGCTTGCCCTGCTAAATAATCAGCTATCTCAGTTTATATTATTAAAGATTTAGACAATTAACGCTATTTAAAGACATTGATTAGTGAAGACATGAATTTAGCTAAGCAAACACTTGTGATGGATAATGTCGTTACTGAGGGAACTTGGCATTATTATGTTCTTAAAAATTAAGTGGTGCCTAGTAAAATACTATATAATTATTTAGATCTCAATTAAAATCAATATATAAAGGCAGCTGGAACCTCTAAACTCTCTCGTTGCAAATACTTGATTGCCTATGATTATGCTTATACAAATAATCAAGATTTTAGACTCAGAATGAAAGAGTTCAGAATATGGAACAAAGATATGTCCTTACTAGATCTAATGTAATACGATAGAATGACTTTGCCACTAAGATTTCCCGAGTTAGCTGTGCTTATAAAAATGAATAGTGTTAGTTTCATTAATGAAGTGACAGGAATATCCAATTTCAATAATAATTTTGTATCCTACAGGATTAAGTATGATAATTAAACAAGAAATAATTGCCCTCTAGGATAAAGACCATCAATTAACTAAACTTTAGCATAGCATTGCTAGTTCGAAAGAGGAAAATCAATCGATTTATAGAGCTACTCTGAACTTTAAATTAATCTTAAATCTACTGTTGAAAATCTTCAAAATGATTAAGAATTAGATTTTACTCTCCTTTTCATGATGAGAAACTACTACTAATTAGACGGAAAAACTAATTACCTTACTGCTATCAATCTTGTAAGAATAGGTGAAAATATACGATTCAAGACTTAAGATTTTAACACAAACATGATTTAATTCAATATATTACCAGATAGAACAGAGCAAACTACAATTCATCTTCATAATTAAAAATATATCACTTATGCAGTTCACTTTATCCTTTCTTAATAAAAAATCATATTCACTGCTAATGAGAAATTGATATAAAGCTTTGCTAATTAATCAATACAAAACATAGGGCCAATAAAATAGATAATTTTTGGCTAATCAAACTAATCTGAATAGTTATTTTCAGTTCAAGCTATATAAATATTCTACCCTTATCTTAATTCTAACCAAATGAATCAATACGAAGGAAGTAATAATAGACTGTAATTTATCATTTATAATATTAATGCTATTATAGGTACTCGTATAAGTATTTGCATTAACAAATCTTTAACACCCAAATATTTGCAAGTAATTTTTTGGATGGAACTTTTATATTTGATACAATATCAGGGAATATTGAAAGTCCAAATTTGAATACTCCTTACTCTTTGAGCCTATCTGTATAAATAACTCCTTGATAAACAATAATTATTTTTAGATGAGTGGTTGTATTGGTGGAATGAATATGGATTAGAGTCTTAGTTATGGCTGTCTACCAAAAGCTGGATTATATTTTTATTAATCAAATATCGCCTACACATTTGCAAAATAAGTTAACTTCAAGTGGTAATTAAGTACAGGATTATGGGTCTAATTTTAGAAATTTGGAATTAATTATAACAATGATTTTTACATATTGACCAATATTATTTCCTTTTATGCTATAACTAATACTCAAAAAAAGATGAATTTGTGTTTTTATACGGTAAAGGGCTATGTATATTAAGGAGTAGTAACATGCTTAAATAATTTTGAAATTATTGAGTAAAAATGGTATGGCTTTGCTGCTGTCAAATAAAACATTGGTTAATGGTCAATTTATAATTAAAACAGATTATTAACAAAGATAGGAGATTCTACTGACTCAATGTATAATCGATTATAAAAAATTTAAATGGGAGATATTAATCTCTTAGGAATTGCACTAAAGGTTAAGAATGTATTTGGAATTGCAAAGGAACTTTTACCCGGCTAGTTATTAGAAGTCTTCACGAGAGGTGTTTCAATTTTACATTATAGATATTCACTACTTTTTTACTATCGCCTAGATGAAGATATCGGCTTGACATTCTATGACAGTTCGATATATGGAAATAATATATAATCTACTTCAGTAGAACTAGGAAATTAAGGTAAACTTCTATGGATTCCTAACTGGGAATAAGTTATTTTGAATGAGGAAACTTGGACAGATGATTTCATTACCTACTAGTACATGGATAGGGGATTATACTTTTAAAATGGAAAATCAAAGTAGATTTTATTGAAGAACATAGATAACATGACATAGGAATATACAATTCAGCTTTGCTTGTATCTGACTGGAATTAGTGTAAAAGAAGTCACTATATTAGGGATAACTGAGCTGACATAATTAAATGTTGACTAAAACAATAAATTTATTCATCTGTAAAACTCAAATATAAAATAAGAGTATCAGCACAATAATTCACTATAAGATAAATGGGTCTACATTGCATTTGCTAACTCAGTTAACTATAGCCAAAAATATCTTGTGATTGATGACTTAGGTCAAATCTCAATGTATTAGAATTCGATACCTTTCAAAGCAGATATTCTAAATCTTGTCTCATTTTACATTGGAGGAAATTCATCTTCTGAAACCTTTAGTGGGTATTTGAGGCACATTAAAATATTTAGGAAATTTTTATCAACCGGACAGTCTCTTAGAATTATTCATCATCAAACTGGAATCATTAATAACAACAATTTGAATTATTACGGTTTAGCTGCAATATACCCTTTCACAGAACCAATGGGTCCTTATATAAGAGAGTAGATTTCAGGAGAATAGAATATAATTGACACTAATGATTATGATTACATATCTTATCCAAGCTTACCAATAATGTGTGACGGTGACTCATAATATTCAAATCTAGGATACTGTCAACGTAAGATAACCTATCGATAATTTTATGTATATATAGCGACGAAGCGAACATTTCAATTAGATTATAGATTAGAAATAAATATTCCAGATTCTTATTCCTAATGTATTTCAATTTCATACTGGATATTTTTCAAATCAGCTCAGGGTTATCAAATGTAATACAGCAGATATTTTCGACTTATGTACAGCAGTATTAATGATATGATTGATTTAAGCAACAATTTTGAGAATCGTTATATTAGAAATTTAAATGATAAAGTTATTAATAACTGGTCGTAAATAACACTCAAAGTTTGTGAAGAGATTCAGGAAGCACAATTGTAAGTTTTAATTTTAATTTTGCAATAGTATTATTCAGTATTAGTATTAAGGAAATATGATGACTGAAACTAGGAAAAATATTAGAGGCTTCGAAATATCTTCTTAAACTTAGTTTGCTATATTCGCTTATTCTAGCACTATTGTCTATTTAAAAGAAATATAATTCTATAGTACCTATATATCTACTTTCTGGATTACAAATTATGGTCTTAAGTAAGTCATTTATAATTTTTTATTAAAATAACTTATAGTTCTAAAAATAAAGATCTTCCAATATTGATTGGATATTTCAAACTTGATGAAAGTGCTGGCGATTATATTTATAATACTGCAACGAATGCTAAGATCGATGCCTTCATTAAATTGAGTTATTTTGTTAAGAAATGGGTACATGACATAGAATTTGGAAGCTCTTAATAGATAAATCTCACAGTATGTAATGAATAGTTCAATGAGTTGGTTGATTAGCATTGCGAAAGTTGGTTCGGATGCTATTAAAGTTGCTTCAATAAATAAGAATGTAGTGGAATGAATTATTCAGATTGTATAAAAGGTCCAACTACTTTCTATTAAAACTCATCTATGATTAACTATTATCTTGATTGCAATAAGTTGTGCTCCATTTGTAATGAACCATGGAAAAACAACTGTAGTAAATGTATCAGTTCCAAAAACTACAAACAAACTTGCGTTTAATAATGCCCTTTTAATACTTTCTAAGTATTCAATTCTACTTAAGATTAAGATTTTTGTATTAATTGCCAGAGACCCTAGTGTATTTGTGATGAACAAGATTTTAATTCATGTCATGGCTGCATTGAGAATTCTAGCTCACTTTATATTAGACTTCCTGAGAAAGATTGTATTCAACGATGCCCAATTGGAACATTTTATGATTCTATCAATTAGACATGTTCTAATTGCTCCATTGAATGCCAATCTTGTACTGGTCCAAAAAATGGGTAATTATATTAATTAAAAAATATATAGTGAGTGTTAAATTTGTAAAATAGAGTATATTCTAATTAGTGGTAAGTGCAAACTTCCTATATGCCCTATAAACTAATATCTAAATAATTCAAATTTTGATTGTTTTGACTGTGATAATGGCTGTGATAAATGTAAAGGACCTGGTCCCGATTAGTGCATTAAGTGTGCTCTTAACTATAAAATTTATAACAAGAAATGTACATAATGTGATTTTATACCTGGATTTTAATCTCCAATGGTTAATAATAATTGCTATGAGGTTTGCGGAGATAGTAAAAACTTGGGATTTCATGAATGCGATGATGGCAATTTATTAAATGGTGATGGTTGTGATGAAAATTGTATGCTAGAACCAGGGTTTTTGTGTTATAATTCTTAATGCAAATAATCTAACCCTCCTAAGATATTAATTTAATCATTTTCCAGTACGAGTATCATATTTAAATTTACAGAATAAATAAATACATAGCTTGGTCCACTAGACAAAGAGGATCTGGAGATATTTATAAAAATGGCTGATGGTTAAGTGAAAAATATATCTTGGACAGGAATGATTGATTAATTATCCCTGAAAAAAAATAAATTTGAAATAAATATAAATATAGCTTTTTCACTCTAAGGAAATGAAGCTTTAATATTTAGGCTAACGTCTGATAGATTTAGATCTAAAAAATCAGGAGAAATAAGTGTTCAAAACTAATAAATAAATATTAAAGTTTAACCTTATGAGTATATAAATCCATCCAGATCAAAGCTATTAGGTGCTCTAGTAAAATAAACAAAAACATTGGTAATCTCAGCAATAAGTACAAATATTTTGATCCAAATACTAATGTAAGGCACTTTTGGATAGATTTTTGAAATGATAAATACCCTCCAAATGCTATATTACATGCCTTTAATCTAAATCCATTATCCAGAAGAACTTAGAAATTTCCTTAATTTCATGTCAACAGCAAATATAAATATACCGATTCCAGGTATTAATGATCCTAAATCTTTTGTTAATAAAATCATTGATGAAAAGTATTATAAAGAAAAACCTTATAATTAGGCATTTTACTTTTTTGGAATTTAAGGCTCAGTATTTGTTCTTCAATATAAACAAAAAATTGTTGTTTGGGTCGTTTAGTTCTAACTATCAATATTTTTTTGGCTTTTGAATAACTATTACTCCAGGAATGATTGGTAATTTATTAAAGATTTATTATTTTTTGCTTTTGAGATATTGATTTATTATATAGTTTCCACAGAGTTATAATATAGAAGGTTGACAAATTATTTCGATACAATATTCCAATACAGGCTTTTATTGAATTCTATTTAGAATTGGCTATATTGAATCTAATTGGACTGTTTAATGTAAATTATCAAATATCAATATAATATATTTTTAGCTTTAATATGAAAATACTAGTTAAATAATAGGATCTATAGTATCTATTTGCTTCTTTGTAATAATTAAAAATATTTAACACTAATAGGTATCAATTTGCCTATTCCCATTGTACTTTCTGGATTTGATCCTTTATAACTTTGATAAACTTGGTAAACCAGAATTTAATGGAAGATTAGGAGTTCTAATAGAAAATTAAAAGATTATTTCAAGAAAAACTATTTCCAATTTATGGATACCCTTATTCTTTTTCAGAAGATTCATTTATGCATCTACTTTGGTTTTATTATAGAGTAATGGACTTTTACAGTTACTGATAAGTGCATTATCTTCCTTAATGGTTTTATCATTCCTAGTAATTGTTAGGCCTTTTAAAAACAAAATATCAAATATGACAAGCATTTTGAACGAAAGTGTAATCCTATTTTGCTTTTCAATCTCTTACTTATTCACATAAAAGAATCATTCAGATGAGGACAGATTCAAGGTTACATTATTGATAATTTCAGCTATTGCTATATTTGCTATTACTAATCTTTTTATCATGATTTATGATGCAGTTTTTTCAATAATATAGCTTATCAAAAATGTTTTATAAAAGTACAAACAACGAAAAAATAATGTACATGAAGTTTAGTCTGTTGATATTCTATCGATTAAAAGCAAATAACAGGTATACAAGACATCTGGATTAACTCGAAAAAATCCTCAAGATTTTTTGAAAAAAAAGAGATAGAAGAGTCAACCAAATAGAAACATTAAATAAAAATAACTAAGTCAATAATTATTTGAAAACAAGTTGAAAACAAAATCATCATAGATTGAAACTTCTGCTATTTAAAAAGTACAAGTTAAGTAACATCATGCTAATGTCATTGAAAACTCTATGAATCACTCATAGCAAGATTTACTTAATAATCCTTCTTTTTAATCAATTTCATCTGTGCTAAGAAAAAAAGATTTAAGCTAAGAAACCAATTCCTTCGCTCAATTGATAAAAAGCAACAAGCGATAGAATATTTAAAGGCACAGATAGGTAAATAAAATTACATCACGGCAAGAAATGATGAAAAAAATAGAAAATTTTACTTTTGACTGAAACAAATTACTTGCTAAAGTATTATTTAACTTATGAAAGAGAAAATACTAAATCATTATTATATATTTTTGATTAGATTTACCTTTATGATAAAAATGACATATATGACAAGAAGGGGTTTTGGGGTTTTGGGG